GCCAACTCGTTGGTTCTGCACGGCCCCTACGGCAACGAGTGGACCGCGCTCAGCGAGATCTTCGCCACGCACTTCGACAAAGTTTGCATGATAGGCGAGTCCAACTCCAAGAAGTTCACGTACCGGAGACCCTGGCTCACGCAGACGAAGGTGCAGCACAAGGGCATGCTCAAGATCGAGAAGGAGCAATACGTGCCCGTCGGCTTCTCCGCCTCGCCGCTGCCGATTCACGTCGTGTGCCAGCTCTCGCTCGACTACGAGAACAGCGGCAACCTCGTCGCCGAGATGGCCTTTGCGATCACGCTGCAGGAGTTGGTGAAGAACAAGAATTCCTTGGACCACTTCCTACAGTCGGTTGGACAAGTGAAGCAGTCGGACCGCGTCATCCGCATCTCGGCACTGGGACAGCACTACTCGGATTACCACGATTTGTGCATCGACTTCATCGAGAGCATCGCGGAGATGGGCCTCAAGCTGGACCCGTTGAATTCGTGGTACAACCTTTGGACCAGCGCAGACGGCTTGACGACCAAGGGCCAGCGCATCGGCATGATCCTCGACGAGGAGAGCAAGATCGAGAACTCGCACCGCGTCGCGCCGCGCCTCGGCTGAATTGGCCTGGCGTCCGACAGACACGGCGTGAAACCACTCTTCTTTTGAAGGGCGGGCTTTTACGTTCCGTGCCGTATCGGACGCCAAACAAGCCCCTCTGCTGGCGGGCCGTTTACCAAGCCCGTTGAGCACGTCCTTCAACACATCAAGCCGTTCAAGAGCCCGTTGAAAGCACGTTCTTTCCACAATCCTTTACCGGAAAGAACGTTCCTTTACTTCAACCTGAAGCTCCAACTTCCTCTCTTAACCACTCATATTAGCACTAACAAAGTAACTTATATTGCACTACGCTGTCCTGGGTCCCTCGGGACGCAGCGTAACAGGAGGGCGATGCCGTGGAGGCAATAGTGGAGCGGGTGCTGGCGGTTCCTCATCGTGCGGTACGCGGCTACGATGCGTGGGCATGGGCACGGCAAAGTCCTGTCGTCGGCGCGTTTGAGGTTGAACCCCAGCATCCATTCGTCCGGAGGAAAAAAGACTTCGGGACCGCCTGTGGTGGCGCGGTAGAAGCGCGCGCTCGCGGAGACGAGCTGCCACGGCGGTGGTCGAGGCGCGTGCGCGGCCGCGCGGCGGTTCGTTTTTGTAGCACTCCGGATGCTGCCGCTTGTCGTAGTCGGCCCAGTACAAGCGGTCGGGGTCGTACGGGTCGGGCTCGACGCGCCAGGGGTAGTACTCCGGCTCGCCGATGGCCTCGTAGTCCCGGTTGGCCTGCTCGAGAAGATATAGCTTGTTGTGGCCGACGTCCGCCTCGCCGAGGAAGCCCCGCCGCGCCGCCGTGTTGCTTCTAGACACGAATTCTCCGCCCAGCAGGAACGCGTAGTCGACGGTGTAGCCGGCCTAAGCCGAGAGCACGCTCCCGGCGCGGCCAAATGCATTTTCCGGGAAGTTCGTGCCGGCCTGCGAGTAGGAGAGCGGCATGCCGACGGCGCTGCACTTCTGCTTGCCGTCGCCCTGAATAATCGGCCTCTGTCGCGGGCATAAGTGCCGAGGCCACGGCATGTGCTTGGCGTTGCGGATGGCGGCTTCAAAGGCACACTTTGCATCGCACGAGTTCAGGAGTTGGCCACGCGTTTCCTGAGACGCGATGTGTGTGAATCACAAGCTGATTAAGTAGCCATTGCCTCGATTCAACGGCATCCAAAAATCTTTATTGAGCGATCGTTTCAATCCTGGTTACGACATCCTCACTGAACCAAATCCATCTGGAAGCAGGCGGAAATAGTCCCCAGCCCGATAGCGCAGTGGCACCGAGCTAGGCCCACAACTTAAAGGTGGACTGATTCGGAACAATCTCGAGCTACTCCACTATCGTAAAAGTGAGGCAACGGGGCCGAGCGGTTAAGGCAAGCGACTCGAATGGTTAACCTCTGACGCGGAAGTAGGGTAATCCCTTATCGTTAGAAGCCCAGTTTCGATCCGTCTCGTTTTCGAGACCGAGCAGTGATAGGCATGGTGGCCGAGTGGTTAAGGCGGTAGCCTTGAAAGCTACTCTCGTCAGAGTCGCAGGTTCGAACCCTGTCCATGTCGCAGTACCATGGAATCAGAGCTTGCATCGTCTAGCGGTGAGGGCGCGACCTTGACACGGTTAAGATCATCGGTTCCGATCCCATCGCGAGTACTCTATCCCCTCTCAGAGTGATGTAGTGGTAACATCAGTCGTTGCCATCGACTGTCCCCGGGTCCGATTCCCGGCTCTGAGAACTTTGCACTTGTGCGGTCGTGGCCGAGCGGTCTAAGGCGCTAGTTTCAGGTACTAGTTCGTAACAGAGCGCGGGTTCGAACCCCGCCGACCGTATGATCATCATCCCTGATCGTATACTGGTTAGAATCACCGCCTGTCACGCGGTAGACCGGGACTCCATTCCCCGACAGGGTGTTACAGTAAACGCGCGCTCTTGGCCGAGCGGTCTAAGGCGCTAGTTTAAGGCACTAGTCTTCGGGCGCGGGTTCGAATCCCGCAGACCGTAAACTCGCTTCCTGCTGAACTCGGCGTGTTCGAGCTGATGCAGCCGTTAAAATTTGCCTCCTTGGCTCAGTCGGTAGAGCGTTAGTCTCATAATCTGAAGGTCAACAGTTCGATCCTGTTAGGAGGCACGAAGTAGCCCGATATGCAAATCAGTGTTCTAGTATTACAAGAGCGCGCTGGAGGCACACACAGGCCCCGAATTTTTTTACAAGTTGAAAGTGCTAGGAACTCCTAGTGGCGTTTTTTTGAGAGCACGAAAAGGCATTTTGAGTGGTCAAGTGTGAGCTGAAGCCACGGCACTCTGGACTCGTCGCTGTTGAAAAGTGACAAGTGCGGCCAGTGTACCTTTTGGACACCACCTCGCAAGGCTCCACATGCGAGACCTATCGAGCTTCCCTGGCACGAGCCCCCTTACACTCTCAAATGAGAGAAAGGCAGAGATAAAGAGACAGGTTGTTTTAAAGGGTTTATTCAAATCTCTGATGGCATAATCCGGAATGCCACGGCGAAGTAATGATAGCCGGCTTCGTCTTCCTCGCACGTGTTTGAGATCAGCACGGTGAGCGGCGCCGTCGTCCCTGTTCGAGCCGCATGGTACGCAGACGCAATTCTCTGGTACATTCCTCCACGGCCTATCACCAACAAGTCTCGCGCCCCCTTTAACAAGGCATCAACGCGCAACGGCGCGGGCACTCCGCTAAAGCCCAAGAACGCCATGGCGACTTCATTGTCGCCGATCATCGGAGTCCCAGTACCAGGGCCGCTGATTGTTTCGGCCCGAAGAAGAGCGGCGAGGCGCCGTTCCAACCACCGGACCCTGGTCCAGCCGTCGAGATGTTCGTCCTCGTCACCAAGCGCAACCATAACGCGTCTTCCTTCCGCGACGAGGGGTACTTGATCGTAGTGAGTCACTAAAGCAGCACGATACCCGGCGATTCTAATAGCGGGCGTGATTGCTTCACCGACGTCGAATGTCATAAAGTCGCCGGCATCCGTATCTCCTGCGCGCATCAGCTGCAATGCCATCCATGCGGCTACTGGGCCGCACGAAGCACCGGCCTGTGTATCCCGCGGATCGTTTGTAAACACGACGGTAAAGCCGAGCCGCTCCGCCCACACGACGAGTTCAGTGATCCACTCGCTTGGCCTGTTACCTGCCGTGAGAAAGTCAACGACGCGCAACTGAAGAATAAAGGCGCCCGGTAAACCCAGGAGAAGTGTCGGCGGTGAGTCTTCCCAAGGAAAGTGAACTTGATACAAACGCCGCAACCTGTTATAACTTCGTTGAGCTTGACGAAGGAGCTGCCGAGGGGCCGTCGCATGCGACAGGTGCGACTTCGCGGTGACAGGTTTCGTCTTCCCGCCAGAGCCGGGGACACCCTTTTGTCGCGTCTTCTTTAGCGGCGGCTCGTCACCCTTGTCCAGGTACGTGAGGTAGCCGGCATAGAAATCTTCACGCAGGTAGGTGGCCGTCTCACCCAACGTCATGAAATCGGCGACGGTCGTAGCGGCCTTGTATACTTCGTACAGCCGATGCGCCAGACTGAACTTTTCCTTCGGGTTGGTCTGAGCGAGGAGAATAGGGGCCTCAAGTTTTCGCTTCCTCTTCGCCGTGGTGGTGGAGTCGTTGGGCCGCGACGACGTGCCGGGACCACCAACGGTCCCAGCGGCCTCGCCCTTGAAGGGCACAGCCCGCTTCTTCCTGTCGGCTTTGGTCTTCCCACCCCGCTCGTCCTTGCGCTGCTGCAGCTTCGCGCGTACAGCCTCGGCTTGTGCGATAGCCGCCGCCGCGCGGGCCTTTGTAATCTCCTCGAGGAAGCGCGCCTTGTGAACCTCCGCTGTGCGAGCGACGTCCCTGGAAGCCGCCGTTCGCAATGTCGCGGCTTCAGCTGCGAATTTGGCGCGCGGCACGAACCACGCCGGTGCAGGGCGGCGGCCATGTAGAATATCGGCGACGAGGCTCACGAAGCTGCGCCGGGCTTGCGACGCGCTGAACTGCGCCTGGATCGGAACAGAGAAGTGCACGGCAATCCCGCCGTAGTGGCGACCGTCAACAGCGACACGCCATCGCCACGGCCTAACGCCATGGATATTGGAAGCCAGCAGCGTTCGATACGCGAGTTCGTCGAGCTTCTTCTTCTCCTCTCTGCGGAAGCCGAGCTGCGCGCTCGATTTGTAGCTCGTAAGGCGCGACAGCGACGGGACAGGGTCCCACGCGATGCCCTCCGTCCCGGTGGCCCTGCTCGCGCTGGTGTACTTGATGCCGATAGAGTGCTCGGTCGGACCGAGAGCGATACAGAGCCACGGGAGTGTCAGGCCCTGGCTCTTGTGGATTGTCATGGCTCCAGCCAACGAGATGTGGAAATTGGTGCGGCTGCAGTGCTTTCCATCGATCAAAAACGACTCGGTCGTCATGTCGACCCGGATCACGTTCGGGATGTGCGAGAGCGCCGACGCAACAAAGTACTCGCCTTCCTGAAGCTGAATAAGAAGATACCAAGGCTGCGACTCGGGAGGCTTTTGCCCAGGACGATAGACAATTCTGAGTAGCGTCCCGACCGAGCGGTTGACGAGCCCGCCACGCAGCCACTGGTTCCGCCCGATTAACATGGCCCGGCAGCCCCCGACCAGCCAGAGCTCGGCCTGCACGCCGCAGCACAGCGTGTCCACGGCTCGACGGCCTTTCGGGTCACCCGTAGAAAACGCCTTGACTCGCACGACTGCTTTCCCGGTGCGCTTCGACAGCGCGCAGACGTACTTGATGTTGCCAGTGGCGACGTCCTCGCGACGCGCCTTGAGGTACCGGCATTCATTATTCGGATCCGCCACAGCCGGCTTCTTGTCGAGGCTATTGTCGCGCAGGAACATCCAGTCTTCGAACGTGTTCTTCCCGTCCATTGCGTTGGACAGATATGCCTCGAGCCGCCGCGAGTTCGCGTCCATTTTGGTGCGCCTCTTATGCGCCTTGAGAATAACGACCTTGGTCCGCTCCATAACAAGTGAACACAACTGCGCGCCGTACTTCTGTAAACGCGGAAGCTTTTCGAACTGGTTCGTCGTCGAGAAGGAGGCGACGTAGAGTCGCCTGTCGCTGACGGGTGGCAGCTGAGCGTGGTGACCGAAGAAGACAAAGCTCTTGCTTCCGAGGTGGACGCCATTCCCGGTGTGCCAAATGTTCCGCATGTTAGTCTCGATCTCTCCAAAGGTGCGCGCACCCAACGTGCCAAACTCGCCTACGAAGTATTAGTAAACGCCTGCGTGCTCGGTCTGCAACCGCTGCAACTTGGATGATTCGCGGTTCTTGTCGTCGTCCGTCTCCGCACAACCAACGTCGTCCTCGTCGCCCGTGTTGGCGTCCTTGACCGTCAGGCCAAACGTGCCGTGGTTGGTGCCGCCGCCGCACCCTTTCGCCGCGACACCGCTCTGCGCACTAATCTTGACCATCTTGGACGACCCCGGGCGCCTCGCCTCGATAATCTGCACAAAGCCGCGAAGTATTACAAGAGCGCGCCGGAGGCACACGGAGGCCCCGAAGGATTTATTCACAGAGTTCAAGACGGGGGTTAAACAATTACGTTAAATCAATGGCATCAGGCCCTGCCTGCTCGTCGGAATCGCCGCCTGGGCCGTCGGAGTCGTCGTAGGTTTTGGAGTTGAAAGAGGCCGCCGAGCTGCCGTCCAAGTCGGAGGAGCCGCCGCCGTCCTGTTGTCGTTCAGCTTCAGCTTTGGCGAGAGATGCAGCCATAGCTGCGGCGAGGTCCTCGTCGAATTCTGGATCAGCTCGTCGGACCACTTCAGCTTGGGCGAGGGACGCAGCCCTTGCTGCTTCTAACTGCTCTAGTTCATCTTCTTCTTGTGCCTCTCGGAGAGCCTCAGCTGCGTCGAGGTACATACTATTTCGCTCCCGCGTGGCACGTCGAGCTTGGACGGCCTCCGAATGCAAAAGTACGTCGATCGCGAGCTCGACCCGGAGCCTCGGCATCATGTTCTGCCGCGGCGTGACCGAGAAGTCGGGTCTGCGCTTATCCGGCGCAGCGATGAGCGCTCGTGCGAACTCGATGACAAACATGCCGCAGTCGATGCCGTTGGTCTGTTGGGGACACTGAGCATCAGGCACCAGCGTAAAGGTCGGCAACACGCCAGGGTCATTCTGATGCGTCCATTCGAACCGGAGCCAGGCCGTCATCGTGCGAAATGCTGTTTGGGCATTGGAAAGAGTGCTACCGCCGGACGCGCTGTCGTAGTAGTA